CTTTATAAAATGCAAAAGATTTTGTCAACATCCTTATTTGTACAATATTGTAAATAACAAGTCCAATGTAGTCCATCATGATAAGTACCCGGTATGAACTCATTTCAACTTTTACAGTCTTCCTCAGATGTAAGGCTATATTGTAAGGAGAGGTCAGCTTCTTAATCCAGCTCAATATTGTAATAGCCTTCATAATATCCTGGAATAAACCAAGTAAATGAAAATTCATATGCAACTGCATATTGTACAAATAAGGATGTTGACAAAATCTTTTGCATTTTATAAAGTCTAACAAATTATATAAATTTTCTTAATAATGTTCTCATCACAGGATTTTTTGTGTGTTTTCCTATTGGACATCTGTGACCCCTCTTGCTTTGTACTGTTCTATTTGGGGATTAGTAAGACATATATGTACACATAATGGATAAATATTTATGTAACAATGTAATAATGAATATAATTACAGAGGTTCAGCTTGCTATAAGGTTATGTTACTTTAAGAATGTGAAGCTCATCATGCAGCTGCATGGAATTAACTAGTAGATTTTTTAAAAAATCTGGATTAATGCAGAGAGCATTTGCCAGCCACCAAATGAAGGCTTCTAGCCAGGTGAAATAAGGACTGGTTGCTACTAATATAATTAATAGTGCTTAGGAGAGCATAGCCAACAAAATCCAGGAGGCTGTTTTTGAATTTATTGGCTTGCTCCACATATAGACACTTGTTGAATCCAGAAGTAAGTTTACTAAGTATTAAATCATTACAAAATGAATAACTTTTTCATGCAACTGCATATGAATTTTCGTTTACTTGGTTTATTCCAGGATATTATGAAGGCTATTACAATATTGAGCTGGATTAAGAAGCTGACCTCTCCTTACAATATAGCCTTACATCTGAGGAAGACTGTAAAAGTTGAAATAAGTTCATACCGGGTACTTATCATGTTGGACTATATTGGACTTGTTATTTACAATATTGTACAAATAAGAATGTTGACAAAATCTTTTGCATTGTATAATTTTTAAGCAGAGAATGACAGGATTGTGTATCCATTTTTTTCTTCTTACAAAACAAAGTAATGTAGTTGTGCTTAATGTGAATCACCCTGGCACTCATTTCTTTCTGGATTCTGCTTTACAAGCCCCTAACAATTACCAGGAGGGGACTTGATGTTTATGAGCATATCACCCATAGGAGGATTGAGTATGTTCCGGGAAAGAAATGCAAGAAAGGATAAGAATGTTCCCACTGAGTGCAAGTTTTACCAGCCCAGTTCAATCCTTTGCATTAAACTCTAAATGGCTATCTGAAAGATGTGAGTGGCTGTGGTACACTGGTACCAAGTCTGATCTCCAGAAATGACAGTGGAAAGGTTTTCTGCCAGAAGTCTTTGGAACAACTGGGATAGGTGAATCAAAAAGTATGTATCCTAATATCCCATCAGCAGAAACAGCCTGTTGCCCACTTGGAATCCTATCCCAAAAGGTCTTAACAATACTTGCCAGCTCTCTGGGGCAGAATAATCAAAAAAAGGAAAAAAATACAGTCTGCTAGTCAGAATACATTGGACTAGATCTCTAGCTGATATTTGTTAGCTCTGATACTGAGAAAGCAATGACATAAGCGCAACTGGGAATTTGCCATTTTCTCTGTATATGCATCTATGCTCTTAGTCCACATAGTATATTTCAGTGTGCCAATAAAGTATTACTGTATTATCCATCTGTCAAGTAATTATCACTGTGAGCCAAGTGCCAAGAGCTCTGTGAGGTGCCTGAGATCAGACCTATGGGAAGCCTGTGGCTGCTGACTTCAGTGCTATCTTCTGCAAGGACTGGGGCACAAGCATTCACCTGCCTTTTCTCGTTGAAGTGTCACATTTTCCTGAGATTTTAGTTCTCTTGCAGTTAAATGGAGACTCCGTTTTAGTTTCATTTGTAGCCAGGAGCCCTGCCATAACATTGTGAGAGCTGAGCATATCACTGCTGGTAAATGAGTGTTTAGGAGAAGCTGTTGTAGGAGAATCTCAGCTTTTCTTTCTTCTTAAATTATATTTCTGGACATATTAATTAATGGGGAAAACTAAGGAAAGCTTTGATTAATTGGGTACCTAGCAACTCAGAAACCAACTGACAGACCAATAAGGAATTAAAGATGGAGAATATTACGTTAAAAGAAACTCTGGATTTTAAATATTACATCAATATAGATTTGGACTGTTTCAGTATTTTTTGATTTTGTAGTTGGGACATATTTTTGTATAAACAGAAGCCAGAACAGATTTTTTTCCCTCAGCTTTGCATGCCTTTTTATAACTAGACAAAGGCCCCAATCTGACTGACATACATCAAGTTCTACATTGTTCTGCTTGCCTTGCTACTTGTAACCAGCAGATGTGCCAGCATACTGCATTGATGAAAACCTTGGGTATTTTTTCACCTATGGCTCTAAAAGTAATTATTGCCTGTTATTCAAATATATACCCTACTTTGGGTAAAAGGTGTATTAGATTTTAGAATGGCTCTCTTTTGCTCTCTATTCTGTATTATCAATATGCACAGTGGCTCACTAATAGTGCTAGAGAAACTCCAAACTGCGATAACATCTCATCTGAAAAAACAAAAAGTTATTCCTGCCAGAGGGACAATAGTGTATCCTGAGATGCCGAATTTATATTCCACAATTTGCGTTCACACCTACAGTTGAATTGGTCACTATGCACACTTTCTTGGGAAGCAACTTATACAGAAATCAGTCAGACTTATTCCTAAGTAAGGTACTCCCCTGTTGAATAGCTCAGCTGCAGAACGTAGCCCCTGAACCTTGGGTGGATGCATGCTGAAGGTGGGCTTCCCCTCTTGCTCTAGGAAATCAGAGGGGAATCTTCCCAGGAAGCCCTGCCCAAGCAACTAGTGTAGGACTCGGCCTCCTTGCTCCTGGCTGTACATGACCCTACTGGTGATCCAGAGCTGACCCACCCCCACCTATAACCAATTGTTGCCCCCCCCCAACTCTCAGCTGAGGGAGAGCGCTGGTCTGCTGCAGATCCTTCAGGAACGGTGCTTCTTCTGGGACACCCCCCCCTCTGGATGCCCTCTTCCCTAAGCCTAGGACACCTTCCAGGGCTGACTCTGAAAGCTTTGGTGGTAGCGCATGGGACCGCTTTCCAGGGGGGGGGGGGGGGGAGACTTCCGAGGCCCACGTGATCTACGGTCTTTGGTTGGGTCTGAGGAGTGTAAAGAATGATCATCGCCTACTAGCCAGTGGTGTCTCTCGACCGGTCTCCGAGGAGCCTTCCTCTTTCTCACACCTCAGATCTATCTGTCTCAAGTCCTCCTCCGCTTGCAACATTTCAAAAGGCTCAGCGTCAGTTTTGTTCCCCGGAGCGAGCACCCCCCCTTCCCCCTCAGCGGGGAGCTGGAAGACGTGCAGCATGGATGGGGTTAATCTTCATCTCCCGCTAGGCAGGGAAGCTCGGCGGAGCTAAGCTGGGCAATCAACAGCCGAGTATCCGGGCAACAGGCGGCGGGGAGCCACTTGCTGGAAAGCCGCCGGAGTTGTCCTGCTTTGTGCCGCCCTCCAGAGAGCGCCCCCTTTGGACAAAAGGCGAAGTGCACCGGTCCCCGTTTGCTTCGCTCCTCAGCCCAGGCTTCTGCGGAGCCTGGACGCGGCTGCCGTCATCTTTGGCGCCGGGCGTCGTGCAACAGGACGCTTGATGGGCTGAGCAATTAACGTTGCGGGTGCCCCCGAGCCCTCTCTCCCCGCCCCCGTGGCGACTTCAAGGTTGCCCCAACTTGCCCCTCTGACGAGTGCCTCCCCCTCCAGCCCCTCCCAGCTCTGGCGACGACGGGAGGGGGCGAGAGAGAGGCCAAGTCGCCTGAGCGGTGCGCTTCCACTCCCTCCCGCTCGCCCTCCCCCAGTCTGAAAATGATCCAGCTCCGAGCTGACTCGGGTTCCTCCCGCTCTCTCGCAAGCGCACCTGCAGGCAGGCCGGCCAGACCCACCGCCCTCCGTGGCTGGAGCGCCCGAAAGAGCACAATCCCGCCTCGATCCGGTCGCCTCCGAGGGGACGCGGATTCCACCGGGAGCCTGAAAAGCTTTGCCTGAGGAGGCGGAGGAGAGCCGACGGGAGGAGAAAGCCAAGCCCAGCCCGGCCCCCTGTGGGATTGCGGGAGGGGAACCAGCTCAGCCCGGCAGCAAGTGCGAATGATGCGCCTTGCGAGGTCGCGTTTCCCTTGCCGGCTTCTCACGTCGGGGAAATAAACACGGCTGCTTTCCCGGGGCGCTGGAAACGTCCGTGATTTTCTGTCGACTGATCGCGATCCTGCCTGAGAGGGAAAGGTGAAGCCATCGGGCACAGTTTTGGAGCAGCAGAAGCAAGGCGAGATCCAGGTAGTTGCCTGCATGTCTCCATGCGGGAGAGAAGGGGGTGTTGATCAGACCGTGTCCAGAAAGATCGGTCAAAGTTTAAGACCTCTTTTCAAGTCAAGGGAAGCTCTCCGGTCCGCTTCGGAAAGATTCTGAGTGGTTTTTGCGACCCGCTGAGAACAGAAGGGGAAATCATTTGCTGCTGCCGAAAACACTTATTTGTTTGTTCCTACCTCGTTACCAGCCTTGTCACATTTTATGAGCCCCTGCCGAAGACGCGCGGTGCCGTCACCTTCCCTTTCCAATCTGCGTAGCCAGAGGCAGAATCCGCCCGGCATCGGGGTTAGCCAGCGAGGGCAGCTGCCTTTCTCTCCGGCTTTTTCCCTCGGATGCAGGTGTACTTGTTGCAGCCCGGTGGTGCCCCTGGGAAGAGGTGAGAAGTCCTCCCATCCCATCCCTGCCAGGCCTCGCCACCCTCCAGAGCAGCCCTGGTCGGTCTCTGAAATAGCTCTCACAGCCAAAGGTCAGGGTTGCCAGAGGTCAGGAGGGAAGGACCCTCCTTCCCCCAGCTCCTTAACAGCAGAAGGGTGTTTAGAGGGCACCTCTGGTCCACATAACTTGATCTATGATCAGCTCGGTGTGTGTCTCATCTTACCGCGGGCGCAAATCAGGGAACAAGCCACCCTCCAAAACATGCCTGAAGGAAGAGATGGGCAAAGGGGAAGAGTCGGACAAGATCACCATCAATGTGGGGGGCACCAGGCATGAGACGTACAAGAGCACTTTGCGCACGCTGCCTGGCACCCGGCTGGCCTGGCTGGCTGACCCCGATGCCCAGAGCAACTTTGACTTTGATGGGCAAAGCAATGAGTTTTTCTTTGACCGCCACCCAGGCATCTTCTCCTACGTGCTGAACTACTACCGCACAGGCAAACTGCACTGCCCTGCAGACATCTGTGGACCCCTTTTTGAGGAGGAGCTCACCTACTGGGGCATTGATGAGACTGACGTGGAGCCCTGCTGCTGGATGTCCTACCGCCAGCACCGCGATGCTGAGGAAGCCCTGGATATCTTTGAGAGCCCCGAGCCTGGCAGTGGAGAGGAGGCTGAGGATGAAGGGGCTAGGGAGGGGACTCTTCAGCGCCTGGGCATGGATGACAGGCCGCCTGGAACTCCTGGGGCCACTGGAGGAGGAGGAGGAGGCTGTTGTCGCAGCTGGCAGCCCAGGATGTGGGCTCTCTTTGAGGATCCCTATTCATCCAGGGCAGCTAGGGTGAGTTGGGGAGCTGTGGGGGACAGCTGGTAGACTGGGTGGTAGGGTACTGCGGTAGCACAGTTTACACTACTCTGTTGATAATCCTTTCCCCACACTCCGTTTATTGGGGTTGGGGCTGGGGGATATATGGACTCCTACCATTCAGCTATACCTTTCTCTGGAGCATGATGGTTCCCCACTTTTGATTAATTTGAAGTGCAGTAGTTAGTTCAGATTTCATCTATTCCCCAAGGTCGTTGACTGGACTTTCTTTCCCTTTCTCACCTCTGTGCCAGTGACCTTGCTGGTTTTTTCCTGTTCATCACTTCTCTTGCTCCCAT